CGGGAAAACTTAATTAGAAGACTCAGAGGAGGGAAACTTAATTTGGGAGTAGACTTAATAAAAAACAAATTTCGGGGAAAACCCCCAAAAACTGCTACGTTGTCTGTTTCAGATGAAAGTTTCCTGGACAAAGAACATATATTGGTTCAGTGTGAATCACCCTATTCGAAATCCCACAGTTCATGTGAATATGCCACAGCTTGATGAGGTCATGCTGGTTAACCAACATAGCATACCTCCCAATTTACAGTATTAGGGTAGAGGCTGCTTTCACAGCTTACTAAGTGGTTCATTTTAAAAGCAATAAACCTTGAATAAAGTTGAAGTGCATTTTTTAAATAACTTACCGTAAACTAGGATCTGAACTGCCTAAATTAAGTAATGCGATGTTGAGCAGCGTCCCAGGGACATCTTTTGGCCGAATCTTGGTGTGCTGGGGGATAGAATCTGGCTGCGACAGCTCCCAGCGTGTCCGGATGTGAATGATAGACTGGACAATGGCATCACACTCCTGGTGCATGAAGGTGAGTGGTGTGCCCTGGTTTGCAATGGTTAGGGTGAACTGGTTCTCATCCACTAGGCAGATTTCTTCAATTTCCGAAGCATAATAGATATCATTGAGAAAGACTGACTGCCCCAGGACTTTTGTTCGCTCTGCTGAGGTTACCTGAACAGCAGTAGAACCAACCTGGAAAGTGGTGGTGAGAGGGTGGAGTGAAGAAGAATTAAATTCCATTATGTTGAATTGTAAGAGGCCCCAAACCAACCAACCAACCAACCAACCAAAATATTATGTTTGCCATATAAGAAAGAGTTACCACCATTACATATGCAAATAATTATTGTAATAAATGCTCTCAAAGAGACTAAAAACATCAGAAAAAATTAATTTGTTTTTAAAAAGAGGTCAAGAATTCTATGGACAATTCCTGATTTTATCCTGAAAGTTCTTGCTTCTCATTCTGCAAAAAGCATGCCATAATCAGAATTCTCACTAGATAATTTCCACTCATTTGTGCCATCTGACTGATATAGAGCAAATTGCCTTCTCTACAATACTCTTCTATCTCCAACCCAACCTAGAACTAAGTGTACACATCTGTATCATCCACAGGACTCCATGAAGATAGAAAGCTTAGTTCTCTCTCTGGACTTACTTTACATCTGTTACAGTACCACAGGGACACTTAGGAAGGCCAGCGTACAGTCTGGTTAGTCAAGAAAGGCAGCGAAGCTAACAGAGTGGCACTTACTTTGATAGAAACCTTGGTGTCTTTGTGAGCCAGCCTGAGAGCATTGTGGAACACCTTCAGGTCCTCTTCTAATGCCAAGGTGGCAGCGGGGAGCTTCTGCTGTTCGTGCTCTATGTGCTCAGCCAGTTTCCCAGGACAGTCTATGAAAATGAGCCTTTTGCTGCCTTTGAGGCCAGTCAGCAGCCGCTCGTGATACTTGGTGTACTCCCTGACCCAGGAGTTACAGTTATAGATATAAACTGCAGAGACATTGTCATAAGCAAAGCCAGGAAAAACAACAAACCACTTAGAGAGAAAGTCCGTTTTAAAGCGATTGCTAGGCCCAGTATGGGTAAGGTCCACTACAATTTCATATGGCTTTGCATAATATGGCTTTAAAGTCAGCAAGACATGGTATATTAGCAAATCACCGTTGATCTGACCAGTTTTGAACCTAAAAAAGATGACAAAAAAAAGGACACAGATTGTTAACAGAGTTCTGAATAGATACATAGATGCTACTAATCTATTTTATTACTTTATTTTCTGATTAGCTTTCTAGAGAAAACTAACAATAATAAAAAATTATACAAAGTCTGGATCCTTTTATTAATCCTAACCCAAGGATATGTTTGGATATGTTTTTATTGATTATCAAGAGAGAGGAAGAAAGGGAGGGAGAGGGAGAGAGGGAAAAGGGTGAGAGGGAGAGAGAGAGAACACTGATGTGAGAGAGAAACATCGACTGGTTGCCTCCTGTGTATGCCCCAACCAGGGATCAAAGCCACAACCTAGATGCATGGGATGATGCTCCAACCATCTGAGCCACCTGGCCAGGGCTGGATCCTTTTTCTAAAACAGTTGTGCTTTAGACATTGAGAAGTAATGCTGAAGTAAAACAGAAGGGACAAATCTCCAATTTGAAAACTTTGAGTTATGACAGTAACAACAAACTTGTCCATCACAGTCAATCAAGGAAGAAGGCAGTGGACACTGGTAAGTTGCCTCCAGGCCCACCAAACTTCCCAGGTGAACAGTCTGGGTGAAAATGACCCACTTGGAGCCCTGGAGAGAACTGAATAGCTTTGTGAATTCATTTATCCTATCTTGACCACAGAGAATGGTTCAGTAGTGATCAAATGACTCAAATTAGGACAACCAGAGCCAAAGAGGCCCAATTAAGGCACTGCAGTTTAAACTCTTGGAAATTTAGACTTATAAACAAGGGGACACAGAGCCCTTGGAGCTGTTAGCTCATATCTTGAGATCTGAAGAAAAGCATGCCTAAAAACTGAAGATACGGAGCAGATAAATAAAGAAACTGGGCCCTGGCCATTTCATTTGAGTCCTAGATAAAGCCTCTCCTGGGATCAAATTTATCCCTGGACTATTCAGTTGTATGAGCCAATAAGTTCCATTTTTTTAAAATTAAGCCAGCCATGTTAGTCATATGTTGCTTATACTAAAAATAATGCTAAACAATGTGAGCAGCCAAGGTCAGGACCAACAGAAAGCCCTGAAGAAACACAGTACTAGAATTTCAATCAAAACAACCTATATGAACTTTGGCCCAATGTTCCATACTTGATGACTCTGGTAGTACTACTACAACCTAGGCTAAGATGAGTATCCTCACCTCAGAGCTTTTAATCTTGTTGGAAATAAGATAAAAATGAGACAAGTTATATGATTTTGAAATAAAAGAGGCCAGCTGTTGTCTCTCAGTGGTTGAGCGTCAATCTATGAACCAGGAGGTCACAGTTCAATTCCTGGTCAGGGCACATGCCAGGGTTTCAGGCTCAATCCCCAGTAGGGGTCATGCAGGAGGCAGCTGATCGATATAATTCTCTCTCATCAATGATGTTTCCAACTCTCTCCCTCTCCTTTCCTCTCTGAAATCAATAAAAATATATTTCAAAAAATAAAAAAATTTCAAGATCAAAGAGAAAGTATGAGGTAGTATATAATCACTTATCTCTGCATTATTATTAATGCAGAGAAAAATAGTGCTATTAAGTTCAGAGAGATCAATACAAACTGGGTAGTCAGTGAAAGCTACTTAGAAGACACACCAGCTGACGTGGATAGGAGGAACTTCAAACTCAACAAGAGGAGGGACTAGCAGACCTCATGGAGAGAGGTAAAGAGGAAAAGAGATAGGTAACTAGGAGTGTTGAGGTCAACAGTCAGCTAGTTTAGCTAGAATGGGGGATTCACACAGAGAAGTTCTAAGAGATAAAGCTGGAAAAATACATAATAGCTAAATTGTGAAGGGACCAAAACTGTTCACCTAAGGGGCTTAGGTTTTCTCCTAAGAGCTCAGTATTCCTCAGAGTGTCACACCAGCATGAGAATCAGCTGTGGTGCCTGATAAAAATGCAGGTTCCTGGACCAAGCCCAGACCTACTAGTACATATAAATCTATGACGTGGGGCCTGGCAGTTTTCATTGTTTTTTAAAAAAACCCTCTCATCTAATGGTTATTTGCATGAACATTTCTGAAACATTGCTATAGGTGTTAAGGAGTTAATCAACTCTAATTTTTAAAGAAAGGGGTGATATGATCAAAGGAAGTAATATATATATAAAGGAGTCAGGGCTAGTAAAAAAGATATTGTAGTACTCTAGACATGGCCTAATAAGGATTTAAAATACAGTCATGCACCACTTAACAATATAGGGAAACGTTCAATTTCATCGTTGTACAAACATCAGAGTGCACTTACACAAACCTAGATGGTATGGCCTAATACTGTAACTGTATGAGCTATATTTTTATATGACTGGTAGTGCTGTAGGTCTGTTTACACCAGCATCACCACAAACACGTGAGCAATGTGTTGTGCTATGATGTTACCATGGCTACTAGTGGCAATAGAAATTTATCAGCTCAATTATGTATTTTTATGGGATCACCATTGTATATGTGGCCTGTCATTATGTGGCTCAAAACTGTACTATGGTGATCATAAAAAAGAAACTGATCTAAGAATATAAAGGAAAATCAACAATGTCTTAGGTCAGATCAGGGCTATAAGAAAGGACTTGAATTAAAAGGACTTGGTATATAACAAGCCTCTGAGATTACAAAGAATGTTGCTATCTTGAACAAAAACAAAGAGATCATGAGGGGCAGCCACTTATGGGAGAAAAATGAGGTGATGAAAGGACATTCAAGGGGGAAGGAGAGAGAGAAGGGGGGAGCAGAGAGAGAAAGGGAGACAGAGAGAGAGGCTATGTGTGTTGTGTGTGTGTGTATATACACACACTAAACCACACAAAAGCATGTTCTGTCCTATATAATCTAAATTTACTACGTACTTTCTCAAATCGTTGCAGTTCCATAATTTGAGATGTGGGTTATGTATATCACTGTTTCTATTATTTGACCAATACCTCAGGTCTCCAAACTCATTTATCAAATCAATCTGTGCATACAAATAAAATTTTTAGAGGTGATTTTAATGCTGCAGGGAAAATGCCATTTCATCTTCTTTTGAATGATACTAATATGTCATCCAAAAGCATATAAAGCAGGCATATATAATGAGCATAAGGTCAAAAGACATTAAGAGGAAAACCCTCCCTGCCCTGGAGGCGGGATTTGTTCCACAAAGCCTCCTGTCATGCCAGTGGCCAGCTAGACAAGTTAGAGATTCTGGTGTTTTTTTCCCCTGTGACATGTGCTCTAGTTGCAGAGAAAAGGAAATGTGTCATCATCTGTGGTTTGGTTCGAAAAGTGGAAAGCTAGCTGTACATGCCCTTTTTTGCTGCAGATTTACTTTAACATTCCTATTCCTCCAAGTCTGTTCTGCTTTATATTACTGCAAGCTGTGCTTAAAGACAAGAAAAGAAGTGGCTTATTAAAATAAGGTTATAATCAGATTTTGACCAACCATTTTGCAAGGTAGGTAATATATATGGCTTTTCTTATGCCCTTTACTTATAACTTTGTACAGATTCGTGTTTGAGGAAGTGCTTCAAATAGTACCTAAGACTCTTATTAACAAAGTAGAATCATAAGTGATGGAAAATGTATGCTTTTTTTTCTGTCCTGTTAGGTAAAACTTAAGTTAGAAATGAGAAAGATTTACTATCAATATAGAGTTTTAAATTAGAACTAGGAAGGATCTGAGTTTAAATTCTACAGTCAATTAGGAAGTTTGGTTATGAAAAAAAGTTTAAAAAATAAATTTATTATTATTAATGCTTAGGCATTAAACATGTTATTGAAAATGACCAGAGATTAAAAACACATACAGACGCTTTTGATAACATAACCTGGCCTCATTGGTTTAAATTAGAAATACAGAGACAGTCCTCTATTCTTGGGAACTTGTAAGGATAAGAGAAAGTCTCATTTTGTTAACAGTTTGTTTATTTGGGGATGACAGCACATCTGGCTGAAGACAATCAACAGCGGGCCCATTATCCATCCCGTGGTAAGCATTGTTAAAAGTGTGTGAATGCTAGGATGCGTACTACATTGTTAACAAACTAATGTGACAATAACAACCCACTTTAAATTATTTTACCATCTATGCAGATGGCCAGTCTAGTATAAAAGGATGGAAATTGCTTGCTAACCCAATTTAAAGTATTTCTCTGTGAAAGAATCATAAAGAAGGCAAAGATTTATGCCATTCAACTTAAAAATGGAAGCTGAACACTATTACGTAGAAGTCAATGCACCGTATCTTTCACTGTTTATTAAAGGTCATAATCCAAAAAGTAATCTTAATTCTAGAGCACATAATAAAAGTTTTTTCCCTCCCTACTATTAATAGGTGATATTATTTCAGAGGTTAATTTCCAGTTAGCATCATTTATTTATTATAAGCTACTTCTTATACACCATTTCTTATAAAACTGTGAAACTGACTAGCAGTAGCACCTATGTTGCTTGGGAGTTGGGTCAGAAATGAAGAATTTCAGGTCCCTCCTAGATCTACGGAATCAAAGCTAAATTAAAAAAGGAGAATAATCTAGTTTTTTTCTAGTTCCCTTAAATGATTACTAACAATAAAAATCTTATAAAAGTAGCTCCAACAAACTGGAATATTATTATAAAAGGGATAGTTCAATAATGGTGGTAAGTCTTTCTGGCTTACCGGTCCCTGAACAGATATACCAGTTCTATTTAAATCACCAATTCTATGGTGGATAATGAGAATTAGAACAGTCTTATCCCCTTTTTGTACTGGCTTCCAGGGAGCTCAGAGCCAAAACTGAAATGCAACCTTTTTATTTATATGTTGAGATGCTTACCATCTGCCTTGACTTCCCACTTCAGTCTAAAATCCCATGATCCTGAGGCTCTATTTCTATTTTACTGTATACTTTATTTTAAAAATTATGTCAAAATATTCACAGAAAAAAATGCTAGGCATAAATAATATAAAAAAGTCAGTAACTTTTGTTAAACCTTTGAGATTATTCAGAAGAGTTCTGCCTCTTTTTCTTTGTAATGCCAGATTTTTAGGCTGAGAAAACAGGCATGCCGCCTTTGGCCTTTGCTTTCGGAAAGCCACAGTCAGTCAGGGGATACAGAGGTGAAAAGAGAGAACCACCACCATAAAATTGCTTTCACAAATCCTGGGGATATATTTCTAAGTACCAGCTTTATTCTAAGCTTCAAGATAAATACCCAAGAAGGAAAAATTAAAAAATATCCACCCTGAATTCCTATTTGAAGTCCATTTTCTTTGGTTGCTACCACATTTCCCCTTTCCTGGGCAGGGAAAAAAAAGCTATTTTCATGCATGAAGTGAAATGCCTAAGGCCACATTTCTCCTTTACTATAAAGACTGATGACACATATGTTAGAAGGTGGGGAGTTTCTGCAAAAAAGGATCCTTAAATGGGGGAGGAATCAAAAAAAGCAGAAGTATATGACTCAAAGCTGAAGTCTAGCATGCTTAAGAGGGAGAACACAATATAAAACCATGGCATTCACTTAAAAAGAATAACAGAAATTAAAACTGTTTCTTTATGTATAGCCTAATAGAAAAAAAAAACGGTTAAGAAGGAATTGCAAATGTCAGGCATGAGCTTGCAGCTTACTTGTAACATATCAGCTGTCTGATCTTTTAATACAATTACCAAAATCAGAAACCGTTAACTCTTTTACAAATTCTCAAATTATATTTCTATCCCCAACAGGTTACCGGCATTATCACGGACATGAAACACACAGGTCATTACCTGCACCTTGCCTTTCTGATGACAACAGTTTTTTCTTTGTCTTCTGGAATAAGAACAAACTATACCCATCTGGGGGCTAACAACACTACTGTCTGGGATCCAGATATTCAAAATAAGACAGGCAGAAACCAAAACGAAAACAGTAACACAAACTCTGCAACTCCTCAAGTAGATAAAAGGAGCAAGTCTACAAACATGCCTGAAATAGCAGCATCGCCTCACATCACATCTTTCACCCCTAAATCTGAACTGGAGCTTTATACACCTTCAGTTGCTAGGAACAGTGCTCCGACATTACAGAGCATCGAAAACACAAGCAAAAGTCACAGTGAAATTTTCAAAAAAGAAGCCTGTGAGGAAAACAACAACAAAATGGCTATGCTAGTTTGCTTAATTATAATTGCAGTGCTTTTTCTTATCTGCACCCTTCTATTTCTATCCACAGTGATTCTGGCAAACAAAGTCTCATATCTCAGGCGATCAAAACAAGTAGGCAAGCGCCAGCCTCGAAGCAATGGCGATTTTCTGGCAAGCAGCGGTCTATGGCCTGCTGAATCAGACACTTGGAACAGAGCAAAACAGCTCACAGGGCCCAACCTAATGATGCAATCTGCTGGAGTGCTCACAGCTACAAGGGAAAAAAAAGATGAAGAAGGAACTGGAAAACTCACTAACTAACAGATGCTTTAGTGAAGAAAAATGCAAAGTAGCAATGGGAAACGTTAGGAAGTAAAAATGAAGTCAGTTTTATATTTAATGTCAACATGTTGGACTGATGATCTAAAATTTTACACGGCAGGCCTTGCAATTTAGAATTAAGCAGGTGAGAAGGGGAGACGTATGCCTGCTTACTTAATTACTTAAACGGTGTACTTTTGTCCTGACACTGAATGTTTTAAAAAGCAGATAATAAAACAACCAAAAATGTAAGGAAGATTTTAAAGACAAATTGAAGAAACTGACTAATAGAAATTGACAATTAAATATTTCTTGTTCAGCAATAGTAGTTAGATGATCTTTGAAAATAAGTAAACTTTTGAATAGTTTTACTGTGTCCTTAGAGGCAAATATATGCTTCAACATCTAACAGAATTCAAATTTCTAACTGTATAGTTTAATGGTACCTTCCTTTGCTGAATGTGACAAAAATCCCTACCAGCTCTTAAATCAACACAGCTAATTTTATGCTAGATGTTTTCATCTTTATATATGACAAACATAAGAAAATGTTTTTCTACTATAAATATTTAATTAAAACTTTTAATTTTGTATAATAAATTAAGACTTTGTTAGAATAAAACTGACTACGTATATTTGCATTCACTTTACTATCTGAGAGAACACATGTAAAGCACAATTGAAACAGATGAGATTATGGCCACAACAGAAGACTACCTGTAAATGTAAAGCATATCTTACTGTTTAAGTGTAACATACCTCTATTGTATAAATATTGCTCTTTTGATTTTTCAACTTCAAGGATGCCAAGTGGCCTAATAAATGACCAATTTCATTTTTTTACTATCAATGGGATATGAGTACTATCAATGGGATATGAGCAAAGAAAAGGTGTGTGTGTGTGTGAATTTGGAAATAGGCTACTTTAGGTAAATATTTAGCCTTTAAAAAAGTATATTTTTATTTATTTTTTTAGAGAGAGAGGAAGGGAAGGGAGAGAGAGAAACATCAATGTAAGAGAGAAACACCAATCAGTTTTCTCCTGTACACACCCCGACCAGGGACCAAACCCAAAATGGGCATCTAACCTGACTGGGAATTAAACTGGCAACCTTTTGGTGCACAAGACAACGCTCAACCAATTGAGCCACACTGGCCAGGGCATGTTTAACATTTTAAGAAACTACATTCAGCCGAAACCGGTTTGGCGTCGGCCTGCGGACTGAAGGGTCCCAGGTTCGATTCCGGTCAAGGGCATGTACCTGGGTTGCGGGCACATCCCCAGTAGGAGATGTGCGGGAGGCAGCTGATCGATGTTTCGATGTTTCTCTCTCATCGATGTTTCTCTCTATCTCTCTCCCTTCCTCTCTGTAAAAAATCAATAAAATATATATTTAAAAAAAAAAGAAACTACATTCAAGTAAAATAATGACTTACATTTAAGTAAAGACTTTAATCTTCAATTAAACATATTACAAAAAGTTGGTTTGAGAGACTTCCCAACTATTTACTGAACTTGACACGGCATATTAATTAAATACCAGGCCACATTTTAAAAATCACATTCCTTATTGATCATTTATTTTGGACAATATGCTACCCACTTAGGAAAATATTTTATATATTTTGTATGACCACAATCTTACTCTCCCTTCTAGGTTGACGATTCTTATCCTGGTTGTGTATCAGAATCACCTGGAGTTTAAAATAACTCACCAATGCCTTATTCCCACCCTCTCCTTCTGATTCAATTGGAATGGGGTGAGATACAGGCATTGGTAATTTTTGCATAACTCTCTAGAAAATACTGCTCTTGGTTAAATTCACTTCTTACAAGTTCTATGGTGCCAACGATCTAGGTTACATCTTAAAATGAGAGGGGAAAACAGAGCATTGATTTTATCATCAATGTATTACCATTTGTCATAAAGTTCATTCCCTAAATAACAAACCATATCTATATTATTCCAGATGAATCTAAATGTCAACAAAGTCCAAAGGAAAGCAGAGAATACTCATGCCAAGCATGGTGACAGGAAGGAGGCTGAATTTTGAGGGGTAAAAGGAATCAGATTGAAATGAAACTGGGCAGAGCTCTGGTTTTGTACAAATTAAAAATTTGAGATTATGTACTGGAATACATACTGATACTACAAAGCACTCCTTGAATCAAGTATCATATATAAATACTTGTAGGAAATTAAAATAATTTACTGTCTTTTTAAAAATAAGAAATTAGCTAGGCAACCAATATTCAATATACAGGTCAAACATTTTCTCACAATACAAGAAAGCTTCTACTACAGGATTAAAATTCATTATTCCTACCTTGGCTATTAAACTTGTATCCTCAGAATGACACCATCCAATGATAGCTTATGAACAAACAGAACTAATTCTTTCCAAACTTGGCAATGTTTAAAAATGAGAAGCTAAGATATGTTTTGAGTTCAAATGTTAAAAGTTATTTCTGAACAAAGACACTTTTGTTTTCTATCCCTGGGTATTATGATCCACACACTTAATTTAGGGATTTTAAAATAGTGAATCAAAAGTTTATAGCATTTTTATTGTATTCTTCTCTATAGTAGGACCCCTCAAACATTTTTTGTACAAAGTAATAAGTTCTTTGCAGTTGAGAACTGGGTCTTAATAATCTGTGTTCCTCTGCAGTGACCAGGGGAAAGCAGGGCATGGTTTAACATTTACTGTTTGTTTCTACTGTAACACGTGCTATGGTAGGCACTTTACATTTATTTAATCCCATAATAAATTAGAAATTATGATCTCCATTTTTCAGATGAGGAAACAGGATAGAAGGTGACCTGGCCAAAGAAATTTTTATTGAGACTGACTCCCACTTTTTTCAATAAACTTTGCTCAGTTAACTTATTAAAAAGTGATTCTGAATTTATTTTTCCATGGAAGTACCTACTTTGTAGATAATCAAAGAGTTATGGACTTGAACTCGAATATCATTTAATTGCTCTAACTGGTTTTGCTCCATGGTTAGAGCATTGGCCCTGGAACCAAAGGGTCATGGGTTTGATTCCTGGTCAAGGGCAGGTACTTGGGTTGCAGGTTTGCTCCTGGGCCCTGGTCAGGGTGCCTGCAGGAAGCAACCAATAGATGTGTCTCTCTCATATTGATGTTTTTCTCTCTCTCTGTCCCCCCTCCATTCCACTCTCTAAAAAATCTCTCCAAAAAATAATTTTGGGTGAGGATTAAAAAAAATCATTTAGTAAAGTATTTGGTCAAAAAATCCGAATTAGGGAGAAACCAAGATGGTGGCATAGGTAAACACCGGAAATTGCTGCCTCCCACAACAACTTCAAAAATACAACTAAAAGACAAAACGGACATCATCCAGAACCACAGGAAGGCTGGCTGAGTGGAAATTCTACAACTAGAAGGAAAGAGAAAAGCACACTGAGACTCAGAGGAGGTGCGGAAGTAAAGTGCAGAGGTACGGTGGCGCATGCGGCAAGGGCTGGCAACTGAGGACACGGCTGAATTTTTGAATCGGGAGGGAGTCACAAGCCCCCGACTGCTCTGAACTCCAGTTCCGGGAAGTCTCTGGGGACCCAGACTCATACGGGGAGAAACTGGACTGTCTGGCAGTGGGCAGAACTCGGAACTCGAGGGAGGCTTTCTCTCAGAGGTGCTTGCAGCAATTACCGGGACACTGAGATGCGGGGCCTCTTAGGGCAGGGCTGAGGATCAGCCATAGCTGTTTGCTCCACCCTGTTGATCCCCTGAGACCCCGCCCCACCCAAGCTGTGCGCAGAGGCTTTTGCATATGAATGCCCTAGCCCTTTGCAATCTGAAAATTACCTAACAAACTGCAGCTGGGCCAGACAGACCCAGAATTTCCAAGAGAAGGCCCAAGGCCCCACAGCGGCTTGCATTGCTTCACAGCTGGGCCTCATCTGGGTACCTCCAAACCCCAAACAAGAAAGGGGAATCTGCAGATCTCTTTGTAGCTCCTGCTGGGTAGCCTCAGGCAGAGGCTAAATTAGCACCTCCTTAGATCCAAGAGCCAGTGTACCCAGTGGTCAGAGTGGGACCATCCAGATTACAACTCCTCAGATCCATAAGGGACACACTCAGGGGGCAGACTCAGTGAGCGCCAAAGCCCCACTAAAGCAAGTCTTGCCCCATAAGGGTGTCTTCAGCACAGAAGTTCTCCCACCGTAGACACAGCTGATTCTCACAGCCAATTGGCCTGGAGGCCAATTCCTCCCAGTGATACCTACAACAATCAAGGCTTAACTACAACAAGACTGTGCACAAAGCCCACAAAGGGGTGCACCAAGAGTGTCCACCTCAGGTAATTGGGGAGGCTGGGCCATATAGGACACCTAGCACACAAAGCCACTCTACCAACACAGGGAAGCATAAAAAATGCGGAGACAAAGAAACAGGTCACAAATGACAGAAATGGAGGAAAGCAAACTACTGGATATAGAGTTCAAAACCACGGTTATAAGGTTTTTCAAGAATTTTCTAGAAACCGCCGATAAATGTAGTGAGACCCTGGAGGATATGAAAAAAGACCAACTAGAAATTAAGCATACACTGACTGAAATAAAGAATAATTAATATACAGAGATCCAACAGCAGACAAGAGGATCCCAAGAATCAAGTCAAAGATTTGAAATATGAAGAAGCAAATATACCCAACCAGAAAAGCAAAAAGAAAAAAGAATCCAAAAATATGAAGATAGTGTAAGGAGCCTCTGGGACAACTTCAAGCGCACCAACATCCGAATTATAGGGGTGCCAGAAGAAGAGAGAGAGCAAGATATTGAAAACCTATTTGAAGAAATAATGACAGAAAACTTCCCCTACCTGGTGAAAGAAATAGACTTACAAGTCCAGGATGCACAGAGAACCCCAAAGAAAAGGAATCCAAAGAGGACCACACCAAGACACATCATAATTAAAATGCCAAGGGCAGAAGACAAAGAGAGAATCTTAAAAGCAGCAAGAGAAAAACAGTCAGTTACCTACAAGGGAGTACCCATAGGACTGTCAGCTGATTTCTCAACAGAAACTATGCAGGCCAGAAGGGAGTGGCAAGAAATATTCAAAGTGATGAATACCAAGAACCTACAACCAAGATTACTTTATCCAGCAAAGCTATCATTCAGAATTGAAGGTCAGATAAAGAGCTTCACAGATAAAAAAAAGCTAAAGGAGTTCACCACCACCAAACCAGGATTATATGAAATGCTGAAAGGTATTCTTTAAGAAGAGGAAGAAGAAAAAGGTAAAGATAAAAATTATGAACAGCAAATACATATCTATCAACAAGTGAATCTAAAAACCAAGTGAATAAAAAATCTGATGAACAGAGTAAACTGGTGAATGTAATAGAACCAGGGGCATAGAAAGGGAGTGGACTGACAATTCTTGGGGGGAAAGAGGTGTGGGGGTGCAGGAAGAGACTGGACAAAAATCGTACACCTATGGATGAGGACAGTGGGAGGGGTAAGGGCAGAGGGTGGGGTGGGAACTGGGTGGAGGAGAGCTATGCGGGGGAGGGGAAAGGAACAACTGTAATAATCTGAACAATAAAGATTTAATTTTAAAAAAATAAAAAAATAATAAAAAATGTATACACACTTTGAAAAAAAACAAAACAAAAAAAAACCACAACCAACCAAATTATACTTTTACCTGGGCTTTGCCTAAATTATGTATGAGGAAATAATATTAACATTTACTGCTACCTACTGTGAGACATTTGTACATGCTATGTTATCTTATTTAATCCTCACAACAACTCAGGAAGAGAAATATTCCTCCAGAGGAGGAAGTGGTGATTCAGAAGTGCAGTCACTTGCCTAAGGTCATACAAGTAAACAGAATTCATCATTCACATCTTACAAAAGAAATCTCACTGTGGGTGATAACCCAACTGGCAGTTTTTCCTTAGAACATACAATTTGCTCTCCAAAGCTCTATTCTAAATATTTAAATTATAGAATCACAGTACTAGAGAGCCTCAAGTGTTTACTTACAAACATTAATTAAAAGCACTCAAATCATGTAGCTCCAAAATGGGTTTTAAAATAAGTTCTGTTAAAGTAGTGTATTTCTTAGTCATTTTGTGGCTTATTGCACTTCCGGAACCAACTACTGATAAACTTCCTCTTTTTCTACAGAAACCATTTCAGTTTGCTAGAGGACCATTTTTAATCTAAATGGAACCACCCCTTTTGCTTTCTTAGCCAAATCACCAAAATGTCCAGTTAGAACAAGAATTTAGCATCCTGCAAAAGAAGTTAACAGCTGAGGTAAGAAAAATTTCACACAGGCAATTTGGTTTGATCTTTGTTTTAATTAAATCTTATTTTTAAAACTAAAACGACAGTAGTGTTTTAAATGTAAACTGCTAGTCTAAAGACGTCTATAATAGGTTTTGTGATTTTGTTGTGTGGAATTAAAAACTATTGAGTGTTGAACTTGCCTTGAAGAAAAAATTTCACCTAGGTTTGCATAATATAAAATTTCACCTAGGTTTTGCTAACCTTAGTTCCATAGTTAAAAGAAATAAACTATATCAAAGGCAGATAAAGCTAACAGCTAGAAATAAAACTAGGATCCATGGGATATGACTGAATTTACAACCCCAAAATAACAGTTAAAAATTCTGACTTGCTTTTTATAAAATTTTCCTGTACATAATGTAACCCATAGATTTAAATTATTTTTATTTTTTAATCCCCTTTAGTTTCCATAGTCACCTTCACTTAATTTATAAAGCCAATGGAATATAGATGAGGTACTCAATTATCATTATGATATATGCTTTATTTTTTATACAAATAGAATTTATATTTAAGAATGATAACATGAAAATATTACATTAAAATGATGACATGAAAATATTTTTAAAGTTCACTAAGACAAAACTGTTACGATAAAATGTATCATCTACATATTTATGTCATATTATCTGAGACTTTAGTAAACAGTGCAAAACAGATACAGAAAAAACACCCACAGAGTAAACAATAGAAAATTGTTAATATGCATTAAAGATGACTACTCTATGAGTAAACTGGGAAGTTAAACTGAATATCCTCAAAAATAAAAACTGCAAAGAGTTTACATAGACTTACAGTACCATGAATAAATTCATAATCGATAATATCCTATATCAGCATTTCATAAATACTTATGGCTTACACTTATAGAAGTCCACTTTAGATTTCTTCTACATAACTACTACATAAGTTAGAAAATAAAGATTTTAATCTCTTTTTTAGACACTTGTGCAAATATTTTTAAAGGGACAGTCCTAAATTTAGAGTTTAATAGTACTTGTGTTTTTCAACTAATTCCAATACAATTCTATTTAGAAGAAAATTTTGAATTCTGAGTAAGTTTAAATGTTAAATATAAATCTGATCCTTTTCAATGTCTAATTTTTAAAAATCATGTCAAATATGACAGCTTATATATGTAATCATTCAAAACTACCATATCTATTTTTAGTAGCTCTTTTCCTGCCCTTTATACAAGACTACCTCCATAAGTTACTTACATACCTATTCCCAGAGAGCTCACATCTCATTTCTTCATAAAGCATTTATTTCATAATTTTACTATGAAAGGCAGTGCAGCATAGAAGGAAAGGGCTCTGGTATAAGACTGATATGGTTTCTGTATTAGTGCCACTATTCAGAGCTGTGACACTTTGGCAAATTACCCAACTTCTCTGCTGTCTCAGTATCTTTATCTGAAAGATAACACTATATTGCTCAGTAAAATAGGAAAGTGCTAGCATTTAGTGGGTACTCAGTAAACGGTAGATATTATTATTGATAAAAGATGGTCATCAAATACCTATCATAGTGCAAGGTTCATTTCCCTTTCTGCTCTTCCTCAAGATATAGATTTGTTGTTTTATTCCGATTACGGTTTCATAACCTCACTAGTTGAACTTACACTACTACTAATTTTAAACTATTTTATCTATATTGTTAACTTATTATCAAAGTAACTAAAACTCAGATACTATTTTTGATACTGTTCACTTACACTTGCCTTTCTGTCTAGGATATGCTCTTCGAATCTGATTCCCTTGAAAAGACAATGACATATTTCTTACATGTCCAACTTAACAGCATTAATTTTAAATGCTGGACCCTTTATATACTTATGTATTATACTTTTTAGTATATGTCTAATATATGGGAACTCCTGCTTTACTGTAACTGCACTTTAAAATGCTCAGTTAAGCTTTGTCTCTGAACTAAAAAAAGCCACAGTTTCTTCATAATTATACCCACTATTTCTTTTTTAAAGTCCTGCTCACTCTTTTCTGAACTATTCTAAATTGTGTAGAATTCTATCACAGATTCAAGCATCCTGACATAGCATATGCTAGGAGGGTAGACAACTAATTGAAGCATGGGAAATAGAATTTGGTTTTAATATTTCATAGAATAATAGACTTTGGTTTTAATCTATATATATATAAAAGCCTAAGCGACTGGCCAACCAGCTGACTGCTTGACCGGTAGCTATGATGCGCACTGACCACCAGGGGCAGTTGCTAAATGCAGGAGCGGAAACCACAGGCATGGAAACATGGACAGACTGATGAATCTCAGAGGGAAGGGGGTAGGAGAGAGGGCAGGAAGAGATTAATCAAAAATTTTATATGCATACTAGACGCCCAGGGCACAGATTTGCGCCCTCTCACAATCCAGGACCCCTTGGGGGATGTCAGAGAGCCGGTTTTGGCCTGATCCCCGCAGGCCAGGTCAAGGGACCCCACCAGTGCACGAATCCATGCACCGGGCCTCTAGTATTATCATAAGGCTTAAATGATGAGTGAAAAATATCATATACTGAAGGTACTATGATCTTCTTACTGACAAAAGAGGCCATGAACCTATAAAAATTGATCTTACAAACTAAACTGGGTTTTTAAGTATGATTCCTGTTTGGGCTCTTTCCTTTCCTAATGCCCCCTTTTTTTTTTTAACTAATTGAAAAGAGGAACCATGTATGTTTTTAAAAAAAATTTCAAGCAAAGTCACAAAAGAGAGAACATTTTCGGCTGAAGACAATTCATGGCCTGTATTTCTGTTGCTTCAGATGGCATTTTAAAAAAAAACTAAACGGAAACTTTGAAGAATAACATCTGTTGATGAGGCCTTTTCTTGGCAAGTGGGTGGAAATCTGTAAGAATAGCAGGTAGGAAATGACAACCATCTACAGGTGATTCAAATACCCATATTTATGCCAAGAAAATTCTAGTTTTTTGACTATTAAACTTTTAGTGCCTGTTCAATGTGGTTTAGTGGTCGAATGTCAATCCAGGAACCAAGAGATTGTGGGTTGAGGCACATTTGGGGTTGCAGGCTCGATCCCCAGAAGGGGCCATGCAGGAGGCAGCCAATCAATGATGTTTCTCTTTCATTGATGTTTTTATCTCTGTATCCCGCCTCCTCCTTTCTCTCTAAAAATCAATAAAAACATATTTTTTAAAAACTTATTTTTAAAAAGCCTTTAGGAAAATGGATAAAATGCAGAATTTAATAACTTGGATCTCATTTTCTTTGCTTAGATTCTGGTATAAGTATAAATGAATAGTGAAAAAGTTAAATGGAAGGAAACCAACTTTACTGGGCTTCTAAAATACATGGCAACCTCTTGTAAAAGAATCAAAATATAAAAACAATGCAGTTTAGGGTAGCAAGAGAAAGAGCATATGCTTTGAAATCAGATGATCTTGGGTACAAATTGCCAGTCTGCCACCATTAGTGATATAACATTGGGCAAATTGCTTAACACATTTGAACTTGTTTCTTTATCTGTAAATCAAGGATTTTTCTATCTTCTACATAGAGTTATTTAAAGATTAAATGAAATAAAGTATGTAAAACACCTGAGATAGTACAGCACATAGTATGTTCTAGATAAGTATTTTTATTTGTTTCTGTCTGCATTCTTCAAGGTTCTTTATAATCTTGTTTGAGGGAGTGAGGATAATAAAAAGAAAATGTGAAAAGGTAATAAAAAATAAACACAATTATTTAAGAAATTAGAAGTAAAAGTGAATTTAATACATGAAGAATTATTTAAGGAACCATAAAGACAACAAGAACTAGGGGGTTCAGGGAATGACTAATTTCTCTGGGCAGTCACAGAGAATGTGGTTTCAGAAGAGGAATTTAAGCTGAGGTCTAGATGAAGACAAGTTCAAATAGGCAGTCAGAAGGGGGGAGAGGCTGGGTTTGAAAAAAGAACACACTTTAAGCAGGTGAAAACAGCATAATAAACAGTGTCTGTTTAGGAAACAAAGTGTGTGCTCAGAAAGTACGTAAGATGCGGAAGAGGTGCATTCAGAAGCTGTATGAGAAGCTTCAGTTAAGAGATATGAGTCGGTACTGGTTAAGCTCAGGCCAGAAGGAAGAAAACTCAGTAGAGAATTTTATGTTGACAGCAATGGGGAATCACAAGCAAGGGAAAAGTCACCTGGCCATATGTGCTTTTAAGATTAATTCATCAGCAGTGTAGAAGAGAGTTTAAAGAAGAAATATTTTTAAATTTAGGCTGGAAGTATTAGAGAGAAAATAAAAGAGACTGTACAGGAAAAAATCATTCTTTTCTATGAAAATAGGACAATTTGTTATCATTGTGTACCAAGTAATAGGGGAGTAAGTAATGAAAACTACTCAAACACGCTGAAATCTACTTATTTGCACAAGTTGAGGGAGCTCCTCTTCTCCTTTTATTGTACCTTGTACAGAACATCAAATCCCTCTCAGATTGGCCTACGAATCATAGAAAAACCATAGTTTCTAATCATATATACTGGGATCTAAAACACTGAGACTTTTTTCCCCCCTAAGGTAAAAAAATAACTGGATAGTTACCACTGTGACTAATGAGTGTGTGAAACAAGAATATTACACACAGAACATAGTCTTAACTCCTCACTTTAGAGATAAGACAATTGAGAAAAGGACAGATTAAGTGACTAATTCTCATGGTTAGATAGGAAGTTAGGTGACAGAAGAAGAATTGGAACTTAACTTTTCAAATTTAAGCATCTGCCACATCTTACAAATAGCCCTAGCTGCCAAATGTATACATGCAAACATATACATGCCTTCTTTTCCCATGCCTGGATGTTCCCCCAGATAAAATATTTTATTTGCTTAATTAGATATCTTTCAAGATTCAGTTCAAGTTTTACTTCTCTGAGAAACCTTCCCTAAAGCCTTCCCAGGCTAGACTGGTTCCTTTGTGTATCTCCTGCATGCCTTTATGAGAAAACGCATCAAGTTATTGTAATTATTTATTACTTGTTTGTTTCTACAACTAAAATCGTTCCCCTACCCTACCTTCTAAACCTAGAAGAGGGCCTGACAAAAAGATGTTTATCAATAAATGAATGAAAGCAGCAGCACGACTCCTTTAACAACTGTGTAAAACTGACTCATCCAGATTCAAAGCTCACTTTGGGATTTTGAGCCATGGACTCTGAGCTGAATCCTTTAAAAATATGAGGTCCTAACATAAAATTTATAGTGCTAAACACTGATAATGTTGCAAAGATTACTCATAAAATAGACTCTGTGCATAAGAAACGTACACAGGTATTACCATTAAAACAGAGAAGTTGGGAGAGTCAGTTTTGAGATGAAGAGGCATTCTGTTGTAAATGTTGAATTTGCTGATAGTGGGATGTATACATGGAAATGTCCACCAACAAGTCACACAAATGGAACTAGAATTAAGGAGATTTGGGCTGGATGTGCATGTTTGGGAGTTTTGGCATAAAGGACAGAGCTGAAATCTTATAGACTCAGGATCAAAGAAAAGTAGATAACATGAGGACTAACTATCAAGTGCCAATATTTAGGAGACAAGAGAAAAACAGGAGCTAGTAAGATAGACACAAAAGGAAGACTACTAGAAAGAGCTCTTTGAATAGCAGTGAAGGAATAGTTAGTTAAGATAAATATAGTCAAAAAGGGGAAAAAAGAGAGAGAAAGAAAAGATCTTTGGATAAAATAATAGATGGTTTCTGGTACCCTTCAAGGCAGCAGGATCAATGTACTTCAAGTCACAAAGAAAGAGAAAATAAGGAGTACATGGAACCGGCATACAGAGCGTATGTATTTGAGAAGTTTGTGAAATGAAGGATTGTAACGTAATGAAGCAGGGCCAAGTACAGATCTTATGAAACAATTAAGAGAAAACACTGCTTATAAGATCCAAATGTTGTATGGTAAATTACAGTATATTCAAGAGTTGTTTACACTAGCCTTTAGTGTATCAAGTCTAAATTAGGAATAATAAATACTTATCAGGTACCTAACTACTTTATGCCAGACTTCAAATGAGACCTAATTATCTGTCTTTTTTCTTTTCATTATAAAACCAGTGGTAAAAAGGAAACATTCTGAAATGGATTCCAAGTATTTCATCTTAATTTTGTTTTGTGGATACCTGAACAATACATTTTCCTCAGAGACAAATGCAAATGCAACAGAGTCACAACCACAGTCTGCTTTACTTAGCTCACCAATGCCATATGTCTTGGCTAATTCTCAAAACACAACAGGGAACCCTTTGGGTCAATCAACACAACTCAACGACATTTCTTCTGGACCATCAACTACCAAAGTTGCTGCTGGACAACCAACAGCAGCTGCTGTTGGAAAACCAGCAGCACATACTACTGCTGGACAACCATTTACCTATAACATCACCAGACAACCAACACCCACGGCCATAACCATCTCCCAACAAACAGCACAACCTGTGTTCACCTCTGGCAGACAACTACCAACATCTGCCCATACTTCTATCAGACAACCGCCACCATCTGTCTATCGATCCACTCATCGACCATCGTCTGTTCACACCTCTTCTGGAAAACCAGTACCACCGACTATTCAAAATCTATCCATACAACCAACACCAGCTGTCAAAAGTGCACCTAGGTTTACACCAGGATTCATCACAGAAGATACTGGTAACACACAAATGCCACATAAAAGCAATTCTAATTCAACAGCTGCCATAATAGTTGGTGTAATTCTGGTTTCTATGTTGGTAGCTATTATCATGATTGTACTATGCAAATGCTTGAGAAAACCAGTTTTAAATGACCAAAATTGGGCAGGCAGATCTCCATTCGCTGATGGTGAAACCCCTGATATATGTTTGGATAACATCAGAGAAAATGAAGTATCCACAAAACGTAAATCAATTATTTCACTTATGGCCTGGAAACCAGGCAAAAGCACACTTTTAGCAGATGACTTAGAAACTAAGTTGTTTGAATCAAGTGAAAACATTGACGATTCCAACAACCTCAAAACAGAGAAAATAAAAGATCAAGGAAATGGTACATCTGAGGATAGTGCTGGTGGATCAACAATTGGCACTGCCGTTTCTTCAGATGACGCAGATCTGCCTCCTCCTCCTCCCCTTCTTGATTTAGAAGGACAGGAGAGTAACACATCTGACGAACCCACAATGACAACGACAACGGTATCTCCTCTTCCAAATGATTCCACCAATCTCCCACCACCTCTGGACTGTCTCAGTCAAGTCTGTGAAGATCATAATTCTGAGTACGAACAGTCACTTCCGCCTCCCCTTGACTCACCTAATTTGACCCTGCCACCAGATTTGATGAAAACCCTGGAAGATTCCAACAATGAGATTCAATGTCAGGAGTTATGTATTCTTCCTAACTCTGAGCAAGATCTCAATGAATCCCTGCCACCCCCACCTGCAGAACTGTTATAAACTTCATAGCTTGCTTATTAGCTGATTTTTCATCCTTTTCAAAGGACTCTCTAAATTTTGTTTTTCTTCATGTGATGAAAGATATTAAGTGGCAACTGATAGCCAATTTTGATTTTTATTCAGGAACTACTTAAAATCTGCTCAAAGCCCATGTGCATAGGTAAAGCTTAATTTTTTTTTAAATATATAACAGTGATCTATTGACTGGCTATAGCCTCTAACTTTAATGTAGAGTATATTTTACATATGTGGATGGTATATGTGTCAATAATTTAACCATTTTGGAAATGAATAACCTACGTATACTTGGTATCACCTAATAGTTCCCCCCCCCCCCGAAAAGCTGTGTATCAAGTTACCTTAAATAAATAAAATTTTATTTTTCCATTTCAAAGTTTTAAACAAAACTCCAAATTTTAAATTAATACCTCCAGTATTAAAATCAACATTCTGAGTTCATGGGGATGAGTGATTAAAATGCATGTTTAAAAATGGAGAAATTTCCTTTTAGCTCTCATTGGAAATAGTAAAGCAAACACACTAAAATATAAAATTTGGGGGTTGGGGAAATTTACTCAGGAAAAAATGGGCATGTACCATAAAATGTAGACATTTTCCTACCTTATTGGGGGAGCACAAATTTTGAAACTAGCCTCTTTATATGCCTGAAGAACTCAAACAAAATAAAATTTTACAAAGAAAACAAAAACACTTCTATGGCTTCCTTTCAAATTTGGATGATTTTCCCAAGAAAAACATACTGTATCGAAATACAGATGGTTCTCAACTTTCATTAAATTCATACTTGACATTTAAGCACCATACATTTAAACTCTTTAACCATCTTTCTTATGAAGAATTTCTTTTTATCCATTACCAGACAAGTGATAAACCTGAGTTATCAGAGTAGGAATGAACCCAATCTTTGTCAAAGCTGGAGTGTGTTCAGGGCCTACCCTTATGCAGATGTCAGCCAGGGCCCACAATAGCGCTCCGTTGCCCAACAAGCATATATTCACTCTCCTTACCTCCCTAACTCCTGGGGGAAATAGTCACTTAGAATGAAGTGTGGTGACCTTATTGGTAGTTTAATGTTGGAACCTCTCATAGTTCTGGGATTTTTCTGAACAAAAATAGTATTTATTGTAGCATGGTGTTCAAGAAACTAAGTTCCATATTTAATAAAAACTAGCAGGCTTTTGGACACTGAAATTTTACATACAATGTTTCTCTTTAAATCTTTTAAGCCATCCCTCATTGACCATTAAAATATTTTATTTGCAGCCCTAACCGGTTTGGCTCAGTGGATAGAGCGTCGGCCTGCAGACTGAAAGGTCCCAGGTTCGATTTCGGTCAAGGGCATGTACCTTGGTTGCGGGCACATCCCCAACAGGGAGTGTGCAGGAGGCAGCTGGTCGATGTTTCTCTCTCATCGATGTTTCTAACTCTCTATCCCTCTCCCTTCCTCTCTGTAAAAAATCAGTAAAATATATTTAAAAAATATTCCTTGAGCTGCTTACTTTTCCTGAATAAGTATAATGTTTACTGTCATACTACATTGGTTCTCTCTGTCTTCCACATTAAAAATTTTCTTTCATGTGTTTTTCAAACTTTGAACTTTTATGGTTAATTTGCCCAGTAGTAATCAGGAGTTTGATAATTTCCCATTTTTCTTTTGAATTTTAAGTATTCTAGTTATGGTAAATAAGACATGTTTTTATACTAATTAAGACTTTAACTTGCCTTAAAATCATCATAATCTTTCTCATTTTACATATAAGATTGTTACCTATCAGGGTCTTTCTTTTTCATCACCTTCTTTCCTGACCTCTTGAAGGATGAGTATTGGGAAATATAAGGAAATACAAACTCTCATAAATAAATTAAAAACTGATGATCTGGTCATAGTCTTGTCTGATTTCTTCAAATACCTCAGGCAACTTTTCTCCTTTTGTCCTTTATACAATAAAACAGACGACTGCTAGCAGGTGGTTTTGTTGTTGATTTTTTGTTTTGTTTTGTGTTTTAAAAAATTCTCTGTGAGGGGGGAAAAATAATTCCCATTTACTGCATGCAATTTTCCCCTACTGAGGTCAGTGGAAGCTGAGAAGCCAAACAGTGGCAATTCTTGCTTAATCAACAGAAAGAAATGCAAACCAATAAAAGAAATAAAGAAGAGAAGAAAATGTTTGACCAAAGAAAAACTTACTGAAAAGATTAAAGAACCAGGACCCAGAAGAGAAAGTTTATTTCATGAATATGGTAAAACAACAAGGCATAGGGTAATTAAAAGCAGACTGAACTACATATATACAGCATACCATAGTGCTATTACCATATCAGCATTAAATAGATTCAGAAACAACCCAGATGACCATCTAGTTCAACCCCTTTTATTTGTTAATTGCTGAGAAAACACACCCAGAGAGAGTAAGTGACTTGTTTAAAAGTGGTATTAAAAGCTGAGTTTGTTCAGCACCCTTTTCACTGATATAAGACCAAAGAGTGCCTACTTCATGCACTGCAACAAACATATGTTAAATATGTATTTCATTTAGTGTTGGTGGCGGGGATACAATGAAATAAAAGAGGGTGACCTGTAATTGTTGTTATTACCTAGTTCTGATAAAAAAGTAAAGTAGCAAAATATTTGGACACCTTGCATTAAAACACGGTGATACTGGCACATGATTGGATACAGATCAATGGAACAGATGGAAAGTCTAAAAATAGATTCCAATCTCAAATCAGTGAGGAAAAATATTGGAACAGTTGGATATATATTTGGAAAAAAAATAAAATTGTATCTATAAGTCACACTACATTGGAATAAATGCCAAATAGACCAGAGATCTAAATATAAAAAATGAAATTATATAAGTAATAGGTGAAAATATCAGTACATTCTTTTATACAGTATGTCCTCGGGTTACGTTGGAGATCCGTTCCTATGGCGCGATGTAGTCGGAACCCACCTACATAAGCACCTACATTACTCACATGGAGCACATACACAGCAGTAATGAAGTGAAACAGTGAAAAAAATCTAAAAGAAAGATAACAATTCCTGACTTTTATTTGTGGTAAATAAATAATAAAAAACATAAAGCACATATATACATATATCAAAATGACGGAACTTTTTTTTAAATAAATAAATGGGAGATGGCAATGAAACGACATACGTGAGTTGTAACCCGAGGACTTGTCCTAGCTGACACTCAAAATCAAGAAGCAATAAAAAGAAAAGAAAAATCCAATTATAGAAAACTTTTAAATGGCAAGAACAAACATAAAAAATCACCACAGTAAAGTCAAAAGACAAATGGCAAACTGAAAAAAAAAATCACAATCTAAATTAAGTCAAAGGGCTACTATCTCTAAAATTTAAAACATACACAAAACTCCAAAATACAGAGTGGGGTAGGAAAGACCCACAACACAACAGAAAAAATATGCAAAACATATAAAAGACAGTCAGAGAAGAAAAAATTTAAATAGTCCTTAAAAACATATATAAAGATATTCAACTTTCCTCATAATAAGAGAGATGCATTTAAATTATACTGAGATACTAATATCTTCATCCACATAAATCCAAAGTTCAACAACAAAGCCTACAGTGAGGCTGTATAGAACTAGACACCCTGACACATTGCTGGTGGGACTGCAAAATGGTATAGTCTAGAGCAGCGGGTTCTCAACCTGTGGGTCGCGAGCCCTTTGGGGGTTGAACGACCCTTTCACAGGGGTCACCTAAGACCATCCTGCATATCAGATATTTACATTACGATTCATAACAGTAGCAAAATTACAGTTATGAAGGAGCAATGAAAATGATTTTATGGTTGGGTCACAACATGAGGAACTGTATTTAAAGGGCCAGAAGGTTGAGAAGCACTGGTCTAGAGAGAGGAATTTAGTAATAACCAGAAAAATTCCAAATGCATTTACCCTTTTATAGAGCAATCCCACTTCTAGAAATCTTTTTGCAAAGATTCATTAGGCAAAATATAAACATACTTAGGTGCAAGGGTATTCACTGTGGCATTATTTGTAATAGCAAAACCCATATGCCCATCAATAGGGGCTTGGTTGACTAAACCATGGTTTACTCCCAAAGGCAGTATGATAATATAAATAAGAAAGATCCCTATGTATTGATATGGAGTGATCTTCCAGATATATTATTTAAAAAACAACAAGATGTGTAACAATATATTTAGTATGCAACCAATTATATAAGGGGATAAGAACATATAATACATATTTTTGTATGTTTGCAAAAAGAAATACTGATAAGAAACAACCAAAAATAGTCACCAACAGGAGGAGGAAGAGAATGGGGTGGGTGGGATACAGAAGCAAGAGTTCTCTGAATATACCTTGTTGTATAGTTTTGACTTAGCTAACCCTAAAAGTTGATAGCTAACTGGAAACAAATGAACCTAACTATGCAAAGTTTATATAAAAATATAGAGAAAACAATTATTTCACGTTGCATTAGAATACAGAATTGACTGTACATCCTTGGTGAAATATGTTCTAAGAACAAATAGAGCTGCAAAGAAATCTTAAACTTTATTCAGTAGTTTGTAATCTAATTGTCTGCAGCAATACTAGTATTGTTTTGAAACTATTATAGGATGATACAAATAAGTGATTACGTTAATGCTGTTAGGAACCATTTATAGGAAATATGGGGGGATAGAGAAACAAATTAAATCTTCACAAGGAAGCAAACAGATAAATCCAGAGGAAGGACTTTCTAGAAAACAAATCACTGAGTTTGGGCAACATGGAGAGAAAAGGGGTAAGGAGGTGGGAGAGGGACTGATCCATTTGGATTTTGACCTGATAATTTCTACCTTGTCAGTTCTTCCATGCTTTTAAAATACTTTATTCAGTACTTTTAGCTGTTTTTAATGGGAAATTCAGTCTGAAGAGCCAACTATATTACCAAAAGTAGAGAATATAGTATTTTTAGTTTCAAATAAGAACAAGAAATACAGATAAAATGATTGGCTTTCCAAACTGTTGATTAACATAGAATAGTTGTTCCCTGGCAGGTAATTTGTTATGCTTTTTAAAATGTTGGCGTAATCTATTTTAGGACAGTGTGTTTCACAAAAGAATATGTAAATGAATTTACTACTTAGTCTAGAATACAATAGTTGCCTAAATAGCTGTAATTCTGGACTTCACAGACTTATGAAAATGTAATGTGTCTGAATAATACCTAAAATAAGTTGTAAAAAACTCTTAAGCCAGAAAAAATTATTTTTGGAGTAACAGTAATATACTATTTTATTTCATAAGTATTTCTAAAACCATAAGATAAGGACAGTTTGGTACAATTCAAATACATTAAAATGTTCCCCCTTTTTCTTTTTGAGAATTTCATAATAATTTTTGAATAGGAAGAAACAACTTGGTATGTCCCCAAACTTAGAAATAAAACACTGCCACTATTATTGGAATTTTTAAATTATATGTAGCAGAATCTAATATTAATACATCCTAAACCCAAATTCATTTGAATCCATTAGTTAATGAAATAATATGCTCTTTCTTTCAAACTTAGGTACGGGTAAGTATAATGGAACTGGGTAACACTACTTTGATATGAGACTTCCTAAAATTAAAAGAAGAGGTTTAAGTGTTTGGTAAGTTGACCCTCAGCCACATCCCTTGAAGTGTAACAGAGTATGAACTGAAACAGAAGAAACTTAAATGTCAAAACATTTCCTATTTCCACAACAATATTGCTGAATGGAGTATTTTTAACATTTTTAAATCATAAGATTGATGACTGGTTTCTGAAATCCATAGAAAAAAATCTTAAGAGTCCAAGAATGAATCCTCAAAGCGAAGTGGGAATAAAGTACCTAATCAATAATAAACTTCTAACACTGCAGACTTTTAAAATGTAGATACTTTTCGAGGAACATTAACTTTATATAAAAGGTGACTCCTAGAATATAGTTAGCTTCCTAAGAAAATAAATTTCAAATTTTAATACTAATTCTAATTGGGGTAAAATATTGGCAAATGTAATTTAGAGAAAAGCAGAGGATTTAGTAACTAGGCATAAAGAGATTTTCCTTAAATGTAATATGCTAATAATTGCTGGTTTTTAAATGGTAACAATTTGTAATGAATATGCCATTACCTATATTGGCTTTCTTTTCTAAGGTAAACTGACTATTCTGGAAATTACACAAGTTTTAACAGATTATGCAATCAGTCCACTAAAGAGTGGAGCAGAAGCTATCATAAATCTGGTCTCATTTTATTAAACTCATGACCAAAAGTTTTCCTTTTTACATTATTTCACATAATTTTAAAAGTATAAATTGCTTTCTCAGAATATAAAATGTAAAAC